ATATATATATATATATATAAATGTATATATATATATATATATATATATATATAAATTGTCTCTGATGATAGTATTATGTTCAATTGAACGTGATGTTCTAGTGTCGGGTCGAATGCTATATTACGTTTTTTTAGTGAAAAAGAGCGTTAACTTGAAATGCTAATATGTCATAACGACCTGGTAACAACGCGATCTGAACCGTACACATGTACTGCCATGACAACAGTCCTTCTAGAAATACTGAACCCTGAGTCACGCGAAATAACACATAAATAACACGTATTATAACAGCTTTGCTTATTAATTTATTGACACTTGAATACAATTACGTATCATAATAACACCAATATGCCAACACATTAAACATCCAGATAAAATAAAACTTCTGTAAATACATATGGATTTGTAAAATACAATACAAATTTGCGTTTGTATTCCATGTCTAGTCAAAGATTCAAATCATTTCTCACTGTACTACATATGAAATGATATACTGTGATTATTGACCTAACATCTCATTTTGATGATAATGTCCCATATCGCCGCGCACTGTTACATCAATGGACGTTAGCTCAATACCAATCGCCACTTTTCTTCAGAATGTTAAAAGTCACCCCCCCCCCCCAGAAAAAATGTGTGTATAGTAACTCCTTCAGGGGCACAGTCTCGCGTGATCCCGAGACCTTGCAATTATTTGAAAACATGTACGCATTGAAACGGAAACTATTATGTCACTGGCGATGCTGATAAAATAGTGTGTGAAATTCGTTTCAGTTAGGTGTGTGGTATTTACTGTCAAATAAATAATAAAATAACACTGAACAAAAGGCCTCAAAAGAATTTCTTTCATGATGGAAGTTTGTGTAAGAACTCGGACCGGTGAGGGCGCAAAGCAATTAACAGACTAGCGTGAATGGCGAATTGGAATTTAGTTGTTAGATATGTTGCCAGCATTTTGAATACATGACAAGTTTACTGTAAGTAAATAATATACTTGATAAATAAACAGTAAAAAGAACAACGTAATTATAAACGTTTTTAAAAAGATGAAAATATTTCAAATAACCGAGCTTAAAGTAGTATGGAGATTCCTGACGTTGACATTTTGAGCATACATGGAAATTGCAAAAACTGACAAGTCAAGTTATATATTCAGATATTGATATTATCTCATCGTTTTTAAAATATCAAGTGAAAAGTTCCATTGTAGTGTGCTTCGAGCAACTACGTCTTGAACGTACAAACATTCATGTTCGTTTGTGTCGGAATATGTACAGTACAGTACAGTGCTCGTTGGTACCCGGATGTTGGTACCAGGATGCAATCTCAAACTAGGATTGATGCCTACCGATCTTGTTTGTAGAACAGTTCCTCTAAAATACATCCATAATTTTCGCTGCGCGCATGCGCATTTTAGCCTCTTAAATGAAGACATCAACTACCATTATCACGGTCACACATTTGTCACCAGGTTTTTTTCTTCTATCTAAACCAAACGGCAGGTCTAGAAGTCGGCAGCTATGTCAATATTTCCCCAAGTTGGAGAGCCTCATGAAAAGTCACGGTCTGGAACCGTTTCTGCTTGTGACGGAAGTCGAACTACGTCATCACATGTCACGTTGAGACACCGGGATGTGAACATCACCTAGTGTGGTAAGTCAAGAATTGTCCGACCACAGAAGTCCCACTAGGCGACGTCACTACACTCTTCCACGACCTGTGTACGGAACGAGGACGACCGTGACACAACACTTCTGAAATAGTCTTTTTTAATGCTTTCTTTTTGTCCTCGAAATGAAACAGAACGAATTATCTTCCACGGCTTTTTAGATTTCGATTTTTTCGTGATGGTCCTATGTAATACGCACGCGCGGATCATGTCCTCAAAGATCAGTTTGATTCGGATGATTTCAGTTGCAGCCGAGGTTTCATAAAACCTCCAATTATGTTGCTTAGCGACCGCCGTGCCCTCGGAATGAGTCACTTGTCTGCCCTGTGCAAAGTCGCATTTATTCCCTAGTAAAAATACAGGAATATTTTTCCCGGATAATGCTAAGGATTTCTGAAACTCTTTGGCAGCCTGTAAGGTTCGACGGCTGGTCGTAGAATAGATGTATAACACACCGTCCGCTGATTCCAAATATTGGTCAGTTTTGTCCTACAATTAAAACAAAAAATAAAATTATTAATATATACAATGACAATGAGTGGGTCAATAATGATATTACCGAGGTATATATGCATCTTGGGCGAGGTCAGTATAACGCTTTCTATTAATAATTTATGAATACATTATAATATTTATCGTGCATTCCCAGTTAAATATGATATCAATTTGGGAACAGATAATCTGTTAATATAATATTATTTACAATATGGTACTCAAAAAAACGGAACGTTGTGTTAGCATGACAACTATACTGAAATACGTCATACGCGTACCTGGTCAGCAGTATCTAGTATCTCGAGGTTTATCCGTTTACCGTCGATTTTTTCTGGTTTCTCGTAACAAAATTCTGTGTAGAAAGGAAAGAAAAACGCACATCAAATTCCGCGAAAACAAACACTGCATCATGTATATCTGTTTGACACCTAATAATGGATTCGTGCGACTCGGTTGGAGATGTAACGATTTCTTTGATTGGTTTACGTTTCGTAAGGTACCCATTAACACTGTCGGATAAGCCAGCATGTGTGGCGCCTGTAATTTTGCTTCAGCATTTAATCCTAAAAAAACTCGTTCTCGCAAATGTTTACAAATTATGACAAGGTAAAAACAACTCGAAAGCGATAATGTATACTTCAAGCTGATATAAAAACAACGAGTTGATGATTGATCGGTGTTCTATAAAACAGAAGCTAAAAACAATAAGTAGGCAATCATCCGTCGCCCAGTTACTGAATAGTCTATTTCGGAAGAATCTGTGCAAAAAAATCCACTGACACACAAACAGTGACAAGGCAATTAAGAACTGCCGTTTGGGTTTGACCTTGATTCGAAAGTAGCGAATATCTGTCTACTGACAACGAGTTGTTTCACTTACCGAGTTTGGAGGCGTACTCAGTGAGGTACCTTCCACACAAATATCGGACTGCTATCGCTGTCAAGAAAAAAATATGGAGTGAACATGCATGTATTAAATAGTACTTTAGCTGACATGTATGTTGAAAGACAATTCTTATTTCTTATAATCAATGACTGTCTGTATTTATACTTACCAGTTTTTCCAACACCATCGCACCCTAGAAGTACAATTCGACACTGATTGCTGCCTTTCTCCATTTTAGTATTCGTCATACTATCACTTGCTTCTACTCACTCTGCAAATAAAACCTGATGAAAAGAGAAAAACAAATAAGTCAATTTGCTTTGTGCTTGGAATTTGATAGATATGCTATATTGACAACAAATATTTACCCGTACTTCTAGGTTAAGTCTATCAGCAGTTGCCTAAATGGTGCACTACGTCTCTGAGTCCACCGCCGGACTGCTATAAACACCGGATTAGTTCAACCTGTGAATTAGGGATGGACCAATGTTACTGTGGGGGTGGCCGTGTTCGAATTTTCGGACATAGATATTTTTTCGATTATTGGAACGAGAGTCACTTTTATCTTGGAGAAAATTGCAAATTATGTGGTATTTCTTGTTTCTTCACAAGTAAATTCCGACTGCCAATGATGCTACCCATGCACAAACATTTTCCGTCCTTAATATTATCCGGCATAATAATAACAAACCCCTAATACTATGAAAGCGCGACGAATCGACCTGTACGAATCATGAAACTGTGCCTTGTCCGAAAGGCATATTATATACACGACAACGTAGAATCGCAGTTAGCTGAACAGTCCAAACAGAATGGACTACTAATATTTTATAATATCAAAATAATGGACTAAAATTCCACCGTAAAACATCGGCCTATCTGTTTTCAATTTCGGGTGTTCCACTTCCGCGTGGAACTAGTAGTGACTGACAGGAAACGTACCTATTCCATTAACACTAACTGACGTACAGTGATATATCTTCCTAGCAGGCTGGTTTTACCGAGTCCATTTATCATAACATACTTTCACTTATGACGTACAAATAACTAAGATATTTGATGTGTTCTAAATACTGCGTCGCCTCTTTGTATAGGTTAGTAGTATCAGTGATTATCACAGCGTGAACGTTAAGAGCACTCAACGAACTGACTCCTGATAGCTCGACTGGACCATCGCTCTGATGGCGCTAATGTTCACCCAGACGACGCCAAGCTACAAACTGTGCATAATCTTTCGGAATTTAATAAATTTAACGGCGCTTTAGTGCGCCAAGAAACTTCTAACGCTGAGATATACAAAGAAAATATGAGAATGGGTCAAATGTTTCCTTTCATTGCGACAAAAACAAAGCCAAGACTATTAGTGGCCCGAGAACAAAGGCATGGTGTCAAATGAATGAGGGCGTTGGCCGTCTTGCAGGTATCCTGATAGCACTTGACACGAAGATTAAACAATTATCTATTGTGTTTTTGTGTTTAGTATTACCGGGCACGTATCCACAGCACGACAGATCAGTTTTAGTGTGCTGTTCGGTTCGATCCAGGTCCATGCTCTGACGCCCAACAAAAGCGCCTTAATTAATTCAACGCCTGTGGTTCAGGTCAATTTCTTTAGTTTTGCATTATTTAGTAAATTTGGCGGAAAAGTACCATATCTTCGGAATAATCAGAACCTATCACATGTGTGTGGTCCCCAGGAGACATGCCCGACGTTTTTATTCTATTCTAGTTATGCTAGACCTGTATGTATTCCGCTTTAACGCCTCCCAATATCATCGATTTCTTAGTCGCGTGTGTGGCCCCGGTGATGCCCAGACTTGGACGTAAATTCAACCTTAAAACTCAGTGAAGCGTTCTTTTCGTTGTGATCTGAGTTGTGCATACAAGTGGGGTCCTTGGTATCTCATATTTAAATTTAGAAATGATTTCCTTGCATTGCACCTGGACAACTGAAATGTCTAAACACGGCTCTAACGTCTGGGCTCGGCTCTTAGGAGACTGTCGTGTCTATGAGGAGTCTGTCAGTCCAGGTGATTGTTGACATCATTCCGCTAAACGCCCACTTAAAACACATTTACTAGGATTTTTTCAGTCATGCCAAAATAAACAGAATTGCAACTATTAGTGTACCTTTACACGAAACTTTATCTGCACGTCGGATATGTCGTCGGCACGGTGCACGGTCGTTCAGTAACTAAGTCATTATTTGCTGTCTTTGTAAACGGCAGCATTCTATGAATCATTTAAACCTGTCTGACAAGACAGTTATGTTTTCAAATGAGTGATTTTATGCTGTTTTCAGCCAAGTTTGATATTTTCTGCTATTTCTGGAATTTCCGGCGCCATTATTACCTCCCTATTTGCTATTGTGTCCCATTTCTGATTTCAAGGCTCAAAGTTCGCGGCGCGTGGCACCGGTGTTGTTTACCAAGCGTCCACTTAGTGGCTGCTTGGTATGATCACAGTCCATACACAAAGGGACGGTGGTATGACAGACGCGTTCTGAGGTGTACTGCTGAAAACTACAGCTTCTACGTATCACACACGGAGGACATCCTGTCTACTCTCATATGAAAATGTTTAGAGACGTTTGATTCGCTGTCATGGCGTGTTTTCCACCAGGCATATTAAGAGGTTGTCCGACGCTGGGTGAAAGGGTGGGTTGGCAAAATTTGAAGAAAAACAATGCAGAAGAAAATAAATCGTGTAGGAATCAACAAAAATATTTCACAAAGATAGAAAAAAAATTGAGCAAACATAGCACTAAACCAAGTAAAGTGTGAAGTGAAGGACAAATTATTTTGCACAATTATTTTTCTGCCATTGCCCCAGATTTGTTGGTGAACTGAACCCCCACCATCATCGGGGAAAATCAAAATCAAAAAAATAAATAAAAATAATATAAAAATAAATGTATATAATTTTTAACAGCAACATCCCATTTAACTCAATTCGTTCCCCAATTGATGTCAATGTGCATACTGGCAACTCACATCAACTTCTTTCACATACCAAAAATTTGCACTGAACAGGAAAAAATTGTATATTATTTAAAAAAAAAAAACTCACCTTCTAAATTTCGTAAGAGAGCACCTGATGCAGAAAATACAAGAGAATATCCTTTATGCTGTACGAGGTGTACGTTAGTATACAACAAACAGAGTACTAGTAGTGTTCATGCATATCAGTGGGGACACGATGTTCACTGTATAAACTCGGTACAAGCTATGTCCCGAACAACGATTGTGATTAGCTTTATATATCCCAGATTGCACTGCACGGATAACATTAAGATTTACGGTTCATGTTTAAACACTCAACCGGCCCGTTACCATGCCAGCGTTGCTATAGAATTGACACGATACTTTTTGTCCTTCGTGGGTGAAAAGGGTTACTTATAAAGTATACCTGTCAGATCGGAAGCTTCCGTAACAGTCTTGTTTTGTGTTTTGCGATAATTTGACCCCGTCTCTCAAAACGTCTGACTCATTTTTTTGTGCTGAGTTTGTTTTTCTATTACGGCACGAGTGTAAGGAAAACCACAGTGGCTGCAATACTATACTTCACACAAATAGCAACAAAGTAGCAATGGCGGAGCTGGCGACGTTATCCACGCGCTTCCACTGCTAGTTCATGTTTTATTTTTAAACATACTATTTTATATGCAATTTTTTTAAAAACTAATTTGTATTTAAACAGTGCGCATGTACCCGGGGGGTTCTCACTAATAATGTGGCATGGAACTGGTTCAAGTACATACTTTAATTGTCATGTATTAAAGAAGCACTGACCGAGTATATCGCGCTGGGACAAATGTTTATGGACTTCGTATCACAGAATGCGCATGTCATTCTTAGGCTCGTTGCCGTAAACACATCGGACATTCACATTCATTTATCTAAATGATATATTGGTAGAAGTAAACAACTTTATGACTAATACTTGTAATATACTATTTCACAGTCGTACACTTGCGTCAGTTTATAATCTACCTAAACTGGAAGTGGAAGTCGATTGAGGACAAGGTTTTCTATGGTAATGAAATTTCAAAAATCAGGCACGCCCATGCAAATTCCATTTTAAGCGCCGCCCGGAATAGCTGCATCCGTTGATTTGTTCTGTTGTGAATTCTTCGTAGCGCACGTTAATATGTTATGATAACCACTTGCCGTATTCATATTGCCCCCTTCATACTCAGTAGGGCGGAGTTATGGTATGCATCGTATTATGTACAGCAATCGTTACTGATTCAGGCTGCCACATTCCTTCTCTCTGTGCTCGCCTCATTTCGATAATTAATTTAATGAGACATACCGTCCACACTTGACTCCAGCATAAATAACATATACATTGCTGAATACAAATTGTTGAAATTCCAAAATGAATTGAACCAATTTGGTGCTCAATTGACATAAAGTCAATTGACGACAAGGTTTGTGAAGTTAACCAGTCAAACACAAATTAATTAACTAAATATAGAAATTTAACCCCTAAATCGTGTAATTTTCTCTGACTCTTTATTGGAATTAATTAATTCGCACTGCATTATGGGTACTCACTCGAAGAATATACTAATATGTGAGTAGGTGAAGTGCATGACATGTAAATACCGCCTCGCTGCTTGTGGTCAATCTTATTGAAATCCTATGTAGAAAAAGTTACCTTCTCCGGCGAATTCATGACAAATTAAATAACAATGCAAATCGCGTCTATACCTCAGCAACCAATTAGAACTCGTGTTACAGGCCGCTTTCTAGTAAGGCGCGCTTTAATTAGTTTACAAATACTGTCAGCTAAACGCGAAGTTGGATATTCATTCGTGAGAGGCCGGTGACACCAGATCGTATGGTATGCAAAAAAATCATTTTGCGTATTCCAGTTTATAATCTTAAGGTTCGTCTTGATTTCGGATATTTAACCTTATCATAAAACATTCAGCATGCCAGTTTAATCATCGTGAGTAAGATGGGCGTTTTCCCAAGAATTCCACGTTACGCCCCAGAGAAAGTCAGCAGATATACGCAGAGAACTCATGTACACAAAATAAACCCGTATTTGTAATATGAACAACCGCATGTTTCCATTAGCTCTATGTTTTTCGTATTCAGGGAACGCAGAATATTTATTTATTTATTCATTTATTTATTTAGTCATATTACGGGTTACGGTATTTGGTGTTACTGGTTTTGAATTCGGGTTAGATAAACAAAAAAACATAGTTACGCTCGTACTACTTAGCATGGGGATTCCATGTAGCTATTGTGG